AGACAACGTTGAGTGCAGGAACGCAGCAACGGGAAGAGAGGTCTGAAGAGAGACTGATTGACACAGCTTGTACTGGGATGGATAGCCGTGAGCAAAATGGAGAGAGATACAGAATCCATAAACATGATGAAGTTGAAGAGTAATGCATAGTGGGAAAGAAGAATTTGAAGAGGAGTCTAAGTGGCTAGCAGTAGAGTACACAGAGTGGTAATGGAATCAGGGGAACCAGTCTGAATAACCCTTCAGTTCAGAAGCAATTTAAGGAGGCAAAAGAAAGAAGGGGGCAGCCAGGAGGAAAAAATAAAAACTGAAAGGTGAGAACTAAAAATGGAAGGAGAGGGAAGTGGAAGTGAAAGAGAGAGACAAAATAAGCAAAGAAAAGGGAAAAAAAAGAGAAAAAAGAAAGTAAAAAGCAGAAATGGAGGGAAAAAAAGATGTGAAGGAAGAAAGATTGCTATTCAGTGTAGTCAGCTAGCGAGACGTGACAGGGCTAGAATGTTTCAATGCAGCAGATCCTGAGAAAGTTCCAGAACCACTGACTCTAACTTTTCCTTTAGTCAAAAATGAGAGAGGCCTCCGAGGTCTCTTCAATCATTTTGTGGGTGGTTTTCATTTCTGACTTCAGGCAATTGTTGCCATGAATAAATTCCCAAGTAAGAAACCAGGAATTTATCCAGTGCAAGTCGTTTTTTTAAAGCAGAAGATTACCATTCTGAATGTCAATTTTACTAACATCACATTATCTGATATACAGAAATTCCATCATGATTTCCAAAATGGCTAAGGCCAGCTACAAACACCAGAATTTATTTATAAATTATGATACAGAGGTGAAATTACATCTTGCTGTCACTAGGAGCAAAATTTTTAAGAATTAGTTCCAGATTACCTGCTATGATATTGGTTAGATTCATTAATTTATAAACAAACAACTTCCAATGGATTTTAAGGAATTATCAATGCTTATAGTTAGAGTTCCAATACTTAACTATAGGAAAACTTGAATTTAATACTAATTAATAGGTCCCATTGTTTGGGTAAGCATCATTTAATTGTGTTTTAAGTGGGACTTTAAAATGCTGCTTGGAATTCCATAGGATACATTTGATAAATATTATGAAAATATTTCAAAACAAAATCACAATACATTGGCTGGGAATGCATATTTCTATTGAACCATTTGCTACAATCATGCCAAAGGCTTATCGTTAATAGGCTACATTTTTGCCTTCAAATTATGACACTAAGTTTGGTATTTTGTCTGGCAAGGAAGCTGAACTGAACCACAAACCATGTATGTTGTGGCGAATAACAAATATTTCTTCTCAGATCTCTCAAAGAAAATAGGTAATCCATATCAATCATGATAGGTCGTATTGTTTCACATCCTTTGACAATGAAATAAAATATTGAAAGTAAACTGCATTGTTATCTAACAACTGCTCCATGGTCTCTCCAATTTCCTCCAGTCCTGAGACCAACATCAATGTGGAATTGATTCCAGAGAACCACCTCCCCAGTATGTGACAGAGCACACCCTCCTAGAATATGATGTCTTTTAAATGTGTTCTAAAAAATGAAAACAAAGATTTCCATTTGCCTTCCCTTGATCCCCCAGACATGGTTAGCCAATAGAACCCATTTTAACCCATTTGGGTTTTGGTATCCAAGTCTCCTAAACTTTTAGACTCACTTGCCCTAGCAGTTGTTGTTTCCCTGTCTGACACTGCGTTTCGAGGGGAACCAGGAAATGGCTCACTCGAAATTGGCTAAAGCCACCTGGAAGAGAAACCGAATGACCACCCAAGATGGCCCCTTCCTCAAGGTAGGTGACCTTCCTTTGCCTCAGTGCCATACAGTTAAGGCTATAGGGGAATAATGTGATACAAAATTATCCCCCCTACCATCTTAACTCATCCCATCCACCCATAACTCACTCCAGATTGTGGGGGTTCCTATTTGAAATAGCTGTTTCATTGAATTTGCTTGCTATAATTGAAAGTGATCTCTATTGCTTGAACAATACATATAGTATTTCTATAACCATTAACAGTTTTTAATTGTATGCACAAGACTATGGCGTCCTCCACTGTCAGTGAGGCCAAACGTAAACTAGAGGAACAACACCTGATATTTCGACTTGGGAGCTTACAGCTCAATAGCCTGAATATCGACTTCACCAGCTTCAAAATCTCTTCACCCCCAAGCTACCCATCTTCCTTCTCACCAACTGCTCCACCCTTCCTACTGACCAACTATAATAACGCCCTACTTGCATTCACCTATCTCCATCCCCCCTACCCCCCCCCCCCCCCCCCCCCCCATTTATTTCTGGGCTGGGCTCCCCTCCCCCTCCCCATTTCCGGCGAAGGGTTTCGGCCTGAAACTTGGACTTCTCTGCTCCTCGGATGCTGAGTGACCTGCTGTGCTTTTCCGGCTCCCATTTATTGACTCTAGCTTCCAGCATCTGCAGTCCTTACTGTCTCCAGTTTAATGTTCATTGCTTATTGTATTATTTGTATTCACCTTCTCATTCAATAACGCACAAGTTACAAAATTAACAGCAAGAATTGAAACTCGGATGCAGTTTCCCAGCTAAAAGATTCTCACTGATTCCCATGGCTCACTAGTGTGTAGATCCAATGTGAAGTTCAGCCATACAGACCAGGAAGGTCTCAGGTTCAGTTTCTGACTTGTGCTGAGTTAGACATTTTCATATAATTGTTGCAGGGACCTGGATTACAAAGGAAAACTGCCCCCATGTTTCCTGAAACCTGATTGTTATTCAATTATTCCTGCGGCAAGTGCAATTGTGGAAATCGTGTGCGAAGGGATTGTATTCAGCTGTAATGCCCCAAGGTCAAATACCATGCAAACACTCAGATCAAGAATAATAGCCACTTAAATGAGCTACCAGAATACAGTCAGCAAATAGCTTTCTAAATGTTGTTTCTCAAAAAAAAGACTGCACATTAATCACATGTTGAAGAAATGTTTATGTTTGTGCGACTTTACAATTCCCAGTACCACAGAATCACAATCCATGTAGGGATTAACAGGTTTTAGTGTTTATGTTCCAATGTCTAACAAGCACTGCAACTTTTTTCAGAGCTATTTATCACACAGAAACAATGAGTATTGTATTTGTAAAGCCATTTTTCAGTCCTATCCTCATTCAATAAATAGAACAGGAATGCATCCTATTGTTGGATGTCTAAAGGAAACTGTCTATTTGATAAGGAGAAAGTGAATGGAAGATAATTCCAAATATATAGTTCTCAGAAAATTTAGCTAATGCAGGAATCCCAGAATGTTCATACTCTACTGCTGACCAGGCCAGTTAAAGGCCTGCTGCAGTAGGAGATGGCAATGGCTAACTTGTCTCTTTAATATGTTTCTCCTAAATATTTTCAGTTAAGTTATGGATCTCCATATAGCTGCACTCTTGAACAGACTGTTCTTTTATTTTTGCCCTGTATCTCTTTGTACTGATCTCTTAAATATTTGCAATTGGCATTTAACTGACAACCTCTGTGATTCCGGTTATAGTGGAAAACTGAACATTTTCCATTGTTTCTAGTGTGCTTTCCTGGAAATGGGGAGGCCAGTTCTTTACTGGCAAGGCAGGGTGAATCTGTTCTCCCCTTGCCAACCTTCCCAGTTGGCCACAACAAAGATTTTGTGTTGTTTGGAGCGGGAGGCTGATTCAACCAGTTAATGTAATTAGCTAGCTCACCAGAACCAATAAGGAGTCAATTACAAGGTTTTTCTGAGTAAAAGAAACAGTGATTTTGTTATCTGTTAACCTTGAGGAAAAATAACAAATACATACATCAAGCACCAGCATAACGTTGAAAAGGTATAGTATCCAGTTCAAAAGGAATATACAATTTAAAGTACTTTAGTATCATTGTGGTGTAAAGATTTTAGCCTAGTTATTTAATTGATGTCTTGTATCCTTAGTAACATTCGTGTTAGTTGCCCTTTTGAGTTCTTAGTGATTGAGTGTTTTGTTTTAATCGGCTCTGTCACTGGGCAGTTTTCCTTCTTGAGAGGCTGAGAGAGTGCTGTTTCGAGCTGCTTTCAGTCACAGATTGATCTTTTCTGTTCTGCCAAAAACAGTACCTTGAAATATAGTTGGCTTGTATATTCTAATACCTGAGTTCCTTGTTTCCAAGCTTGGTAATTTCAGGTGATGCCTTTTCTTTTCAACATGTGAAACTTATCATACAGGTTTAAACTAAAATAGGGCATGAGTTTTTTTTAAGTCTGACTAGTTTTACTGTCTTTTGACAATTTCAATTCAGATGATTCTGATTATTTCACATTAGTTTCACAAAGCTTGGCTAACATGTGGTCAGCTGATTGCTGTGGCCATTTTTGATGAGTGCATGTTCCTTTTTCAAAAATTATTTACCTTGTGAAGGTCACAGGTATTAAAATCAGATCGATCATCCAAATTTTACATTAGTATGACACCCTGAGTTGCTGTCTTCCTTTATTGTTTGCATTTGCTTATTAATTATAAAGTTAAAACGTTAAAGGAAAAAATGCTACTGCATTTTTTCTCACGAATGAAATAATAATTTTCCATACAGGTATTGCATTATAAGTAACACTGCTCTGAAGTGGGTGTATAACAATTTTTTTTCTAGCTGCAAGACTGTGCATATAGGTATTTTAAGCTTTCACTATAATACATACAATACATACCAAATTACACCGTTGAAAGTATGCATTCATCATTCACAAATCTATTATTATGATACATCAAATTCCTGGGGATGGGAATTTGTCTGAAGCAGCATCACAGAGCAGGTGGTATCAAGTCCCACATTTGTTTACAGAACATCTTTTATTCTGCTCTGTTGATGACCACACTGCCTCTGCTTGAAACATATTTCCAATCCTAGTACTTTGGATGCATAGCCATGTTAATCTATTTCTGCCAATTTAATTATTCTGCAATTCCAAAAAGTTGTTTTGGTTTTGGATTCTAGGGCCCCCTTGGATTGGATGGAAAGCCAGTAAGTATTTTCTGGACATGTACATCTTCGAAAGAAGCCTGTATTACTTTGTTATCGTTGTATGAAAAATAGACTACAATAGATAAACATTACTCTTTAGCCTTTCAAACACCTCTCAAACCAAGTTGTGTGAAAACCAAATGTTTTGTTATTGAACCTGCAATGCAGCCGCCTGATCAGAAATGTCAATTGAGGTTAGTATTGAGTCGCTTTTCTTTTTGTGATATATTTCACTAATTACTGGAGAATCTTGCTTTGCTACCTCATGTGAAATTTAAAAGATGTTTTTAAATCTACAGCTTCCCGACTAAATTATGAACAGATGACTTTTTTTTTGACAAAGCTTCTTCACAAATGATATCATTAACATGAGGTTCATTTGGTTCCGTACACTTTGTATACTTGGTGAATGTGCATGGAGGGTATGAGAGGCCATGATAGGGTGAATAGAGTGGCATGGGTGGCAATAGAGTGGGCACATGCAGGGTGTGAAGCATGAGGGCTAGAGAGCTGTTATCTGTTTTATTGCTTTTACTGAAACCGAGATGAGGGTCCAAAGTAATGGGTCAGGTTCTTTTAAACAGTCTGCCTACACCCCAGCAGCCCTGTTCCTTTTTCCAAACTCTTTCTGAGGGTGGCAGGCCTGTGACTTTTAACACACCACTACCTCCAGAATAAATGGTGCCTTTATGGATAATTTGCCTACCACCCACCTCAAGGATGAAAATTCAGTCCCTTTTCTTGGTATGAGACCAGATGTTGCTAAACTAGTAATAGTGTCTGAATGATGTATGCTGTTACTAATGCACAAACCAATAGCTTGCAGCGTGAAAATGATTTTTCATGAATTTGGAATCACTAAGTTGCTTGCCAATTTATGCAGCTCTATTGTGGCTTCACATATATTGCATTTTAACCTGACTTTTCATGACCTTGCCGCAGTTGTATTAATTGCCCATTAAACTCAACCACAGAAAATCAAGTCTAGTAATTAACTGTTTAGATATGCTTTTAGTAGTATGATGATAGTTGATGACAACCAATCAACTTCTCATACTCACTCAAAGTAAATAAGTGAGTGTCAAGTCTCATTCCCGTAGGCTGTGAAATATTTTAGAAGATTTAAAAATGTTGGATTTCAGTTTTTTTAGATTTATTTTCTGTCTTTTCCCTTCTATATGTTTTTCTCTCTCTTTCTTACTTTAATTATTCTTTCCTCCCATCCACATCTGCAGAATTTGATTTTAGCTTTATTCCATCTAATTTATTTTCATCTCCGGTGACCAACTGTCTGGGAAGAAATTAAGGTCTGGGGGGGGTTGTGTTCACTACTGAACAACTAGAGTTTTTACATTCATGTTTTCATTAAGGGGATGTGGGCATCATTGGCTGGCCAGCATTTATTATCCATTAATCGTTGCACTTGAAGATGGTGGTGAGGTGCCTTCTTGAACCATTGTAGTCCATCTGGTAAAGGGACACCCACAATGCTGCTAGGAAGGGAGCTCCAGGATTTTGACCCAGTGACAGTGAAGGAACGAAGATATTTCCAAGTATCAAAGTTATTATTATCATTAAGATCAGTGTTAAATTTCTATAATTTGTTTTGATTAACTTAAAGGCTGTTTCTTCAGATAGTGAACAAGTTAGTACTGGATGGCCAGTCTCTCAAACAGATGAGAGTTAATGTCCAGAATTTAAAAAGTCTTGTGTTTAAATGAAAAAGGAACGCATTGGAGAAATTCAGAAGGTCCAGCAGCACTTGTGTAGAGGGAAATAGTTTTAGCATTTCAGGTCCAATGACTCCTCTTCAGATCTGATCCGAAGAAAAATCATTGGATTCAAAATGTTAACTCTGTTTCTCTCTCCACAGATGCTGCCAGATCTGGTGAGTTTCTCCAGGGCTTCCAAATCTTATTTCAGATTTCCAACATTGCTGTACTTTGTTTTTATTTGTTTTTAAGTGGTTGCGTTCACTGTTTGTCTTCCTTTGAATGATGGTGTTGACTTCTGACTATCTTTCGAAGAATGCCCATTTTTCTATGGACTATCAAATGATCAAAGACAGATTTGTTCTAAAGAAGCAATGATGCAACAAAAAGAAAACTCTGGGAAATACCAATGGCCATTTGAATTCCCTGAACATTCCCAGCCCCACCTCCAGCAGATCTTTCATGGTGAAGATGGGCCAATAGCATTGCACCCTGTATTTTCTAAACCAGTCTCACTGGAAACAGAGCCTTGAAAAAATAACCAAAGTTACATGGTGTCAGATAAACTTCACAGCTCCACTTCGGTGTAAATATTTTGGAGAACATCCCTATGGTTTCATAGTAATTGTTACAGATAATTGGTAAGATGTCAAAAAAAATCTAATCCAAAAGTGCTGACAAATGTAGTAAGCAAGTTGGAATCTGAAAATCAGAAAGACGAGATAAAGTTTCAGTAGTGATTTCATCAAAATAATGTGTAAATGAAAGTAATTAATTGCAGATATGCTAGTGCTAACAGTGAAAGCATATAGAGTGTTCAGTTCTGTCCCAAACTACCCACTCCCCAAAACTGTAAAACAGCCACAAATAGAAAATATTAACCTCCTATCTCCAGTTAAATCAGATTCATCGTATTTACTTAAATAACCATGAAGAATCAAAAATCAGGGTAAGTTAAATGGAATAATTCACTCTAAAAATGTTTTTCATTATGAGTGGTAGTTTGAAGAGTCCCACACCCCAGTATAAACCCTGCCACACAATAAAGGAAATAATAATATTGTGAGAATCAATAGGAAAACTCCTGTGGTGAAATATTGTTTTGTGAAGTAAAAGTATGTCTGTATGTTAAATGCATAATACATTGTAGCAATTTTGTATACACTAACAAAATAATTGTTCATTTGATTTTAGCCAGAATATTTGTTTACAACGATGTTAACTTGCTTATTTACTAAACATGTTTTGGTCATTAACTAATTTATTTTTTTAGGACAAGTGATCTGTCATCACTTGAATCAGTTGATAACGAGGACAATGAATTATGGAAGATTATGGTATTTTGTAAAGGTAGAAAATTGTGTTACATCTAGGAAAGGTAAAAGTTTAAGATTTGTTGCAAGATGTTACACAGCACTAAATAATAATGAAGTTATATTTTTTGACTTTCCTCAGGAACAGATGGAAAGGGTAATATTTGTAGACCATTCAGTCCATTGAATTTGTACCACCATTCAGTGAGGCTAATCTGTACCTCAACATTATTTAGCAACCTACACTTCATGTGAACTCATCAACCTCCATCTTGAAAATTTCAGTTGACATAGCATCTACAGCATTTTGACAAAGGATTTTGTTTCATTGCCTTTTAATTATATTTTATTTAACAATTTCTGATTTCATTCCTCCAGCTGAAATGGCCTACCCTTGCCAAGTGTTTCTTCACCAATTTGAAGATTTTAATCAGATCACTTTCAACCTTCTAAAATCAAGGGAAAATAGTTTTATGCAACCTGTTGTCATAATTGAACCCATTCAGCTGTGGTATAAACATAAAAGTCTTTGCTATTTTCTCTAATGCCAACATATCTTTCCTAAGATATAGGCTGAGTTTTCATGACCAAGTTAGAATGAAGGTGAAAGGGCTTCAAAAATGGTGGGCAGGGGCTGATTCCAAAATTCCTACCCCGTTCCCAGTTCTGGCAATTTTTGACAGCACATAAGTGTGTGAGTAGCAAGTCTAGGCATTGCACTTCCAACTTTACTGGCTATATTGGACAGCAGGGTGTTTCAGGTCTCTTCCATTTTGACTTGACTTCTGCAGAGGACATGGTCAACAGTTATTCATGGAGTTGTGGATCAAAGGGGAGTTCTTGTCTGTGAACCAAACAATCAGGCATTCAACATTTCCTTTGGGGGGAGAAAAATTTACTTTCTCATAGAACTGTCATTCAAACAAAGCCAATGAATTTCCCATTGAAGAAACATTTAATCATGACCAAATAAACACACAGGCATCTAAAATAAAACACTTTAAAACAAAGATCAAGTTAAGGTTGTCAATCAATCAAACTGAGTAACTGAGTAAAGGAACCTCTGCTGGGCTGAGTCCATTTAGTCAGTCTTGGAACTTAGCCATGCATTTCCAGCACATTCTATCTTCATGCAATAAACTTTCTAGGACTGTGTGACTACAGTTTATTCATAATCCTTAAGTATGATGATAGAAAAATTAACAATAATAAAGTAAGAACTACTCTAAGCTTAAAGGTTAGGTCAAAAGCTATTTTAGGGCAGAATAACAGAAACATTGTTCTTCACCTAACAACAGTGTACCTGATGATACTTGATGTTGATGTTGATGTTGCATGGCAAAAGTAGAAAGTACATTTTGTTTTCAGTTCCAAATGGCCTCATCTTGCTGAACACAAGTAATCGCTATAAATTTTCAAAAAGAAAATGAAAAAACAGTAAGTCGATGAAGAATTTCATAAGATATGTTTCAATTATAAAGCAATCTTGCATTATTTTATTTTCTAGGGCCAACCTGGACCAAAAGGAGAAAAGGTAGAGGACTGTCTGCTATTAGTGAAGTTGTAATAGTTCTAACTATCTTATTGCACAATTTCTATTTGCTATTTGCTCTTCTTTCTGAGTTTCTTTATTCAATTGCCACTGCCCACCACCCTTCCCAAAAAAAATCCAGAATATACCCATGAGAAGAAGACGGCATGACAATTTTTTATTGCATGATGCTACAAAATCTAATGAACTGTTTCTTATTTAAATAAGCTGCTGTTTGTCTTGATTACCCTAATCTTGTGATTTGAAATGAATATTATCACTGAATTGCTTGCTTTTGTTTTATTATTGGCTTCAATTTTCTTTTTAATAAATGCTTTTTTATTAAAAATGTTTAATGATGCAATGGGTGACCTTGCAAAATTTGGACAGAAAGAATAATTTCTTCTTACTTTGAAAGAACTTAAGTCAAAAATAAATTATTTCTCACATCCATATTTTAAAGATAATTGTCTTGCATGTTGCTTCTTAAGCGTTTAAAAAAAATGAAAGTAACTTTGTCCTAAAGATTTTCGCCAATTTGAACATAAATAATAAACCAAATAATATAATGTCATTGGATGTAGTATTTATCTAACAATTGAAGAATTAATAGGACTACAGGAACAGGAGTAGGCCATTCAGCCCCTTGTGCTTGTTCCAACGTTCAGTAAGATCATGGCTGATCTGTGGCCTAACTCCATACACCTGCCTTTTGGCCCATATCCCTTAATACCTTAGCTTAACAAAAAATTCTCAATGTCATGATTTTAAATGAACAACTGATCCTGCATCTACTGCTGTTTATAGAAGTGAATTCCAAACATCTACCACCATTTGTGTGTAGAAGTGCTTCCTAACATCTCTCCTGAATGGTCTGGGCCAAATTCTCATACTATGGCCCCTACTCTATAACCTTCAAATAGAGGAAATAATTTATTTTTATCTACCCAACATTTTCCTGGTAATATCTTGAATATTTTGCAGATCACCCCTTATCCTTCTAAGTTGAAGAAAGAAAGAGGCCTAATTTGTACAATCTCTCCTCATAAGCCCTGAATTTTGAGTACCATTCTTTATGAAGTGTAGTGGAACAGAGGGACCTTGGAGTTCAGGTGCACAGTTCTCTGAAAGTGGAGTCACAGGTAGACAGGGCAGTGAAGAAGGCTTTTGGCACACTGGCCTTCATCAGTCAGGGCATTGAGTATAGAAGGTAGGAATTTATGTTGCTGTTGTACAAGATATTGGCGAGGCCACACTTGGAGCATTGTGTTCAGTTTTGGTCACCTTGCTATAGGAAGGATGTTATTAAACTGGAAAGAGTGCAGAAGAAATTTACAAGGATGTTGCCAGGATTCAAGGGACTGAGTTATAGGGAGAGGTTGGACAAGCTAGGACTTTTTTCTTCAGAGCGTAGGAGACTGAGGGTGGATCTAATAGAAGTATATAAGATCATGAGAGGCATGGATGAGGTGAATGCTCTCAATCTTTTTCCTAGGGTTGGGGAATCGAGGACTGCAGGGCATCAGTTTAAGGTAAGAGAGGAAAGAATACATGGGAACCTTTTTACACAGAGGGTGGTACATATATGGAATGAGCTGCCAGCGGAAGTGGTTGAGGCAGGTACATTAACAACATTTAAAAGGCATTTGGATGAATCCATGGATAGGAAAGGTTTAGAACAATATGGGCCAAGTGAAGGAAAATGGGCTTAGCGTGGATGGACATTTTGGTTGGCATGGAGCAGTTTGGACTAAAGGGCCTGTCTCCATGCCAAAGGACTCTATGACTCTATGAGCCTACATTGTACTGGCCAATATATCCTTCCTAAGGTGTGGTGCCTAGATCTGTTCACAATACTTCTATCCAGAGTTTTGAATAATTGCAGCATGACATCTACATCCTGTAATTCAGTCCCCTAGATATAAAGGCCAGAATTCCATTAACTTTCTTGATTATTTTCTGCACCTGTTTTGTGATGTTTTGAGGATTGATGCACCTGAACCCCCAAGCCGCTTTGGGCGTGTACTGTGTTTAACTCCATTCTATCTAGAAAGTACCTTGACTTACCTTTTTCTGTCCAAAATGCATAACATCTTACTTGGGGAACTCCATCTGCCACAGTTTTTGCCCATTCACTAAGTCTATCAATATCCCTTTGCAATTTTATGCTTTCATTTATATGTTTACAATGCCGCCTAACTATTTGTCATCAGATCTGGATATGAGACTTTCTTTGCCATTATCCAAGTGGCGTGAAATAAATTGTGTAAATAATGTGAATGATTGAGGCCCTAACATAGGTTCTTGTGGGACACCACTGGCCACATCCTATCAATTTAAGTACCCACCCGTTATCCCTACTTCCTGTAGCCTGCCACTCAACTAATTACAGAAGTCCACATAAATAACATCCCTAGACATTTCCCTGTTCACTACCTTATTCACCCCTTCAAAAATTCAGTAAAGTTTGTCGGGCATGGCCTACCTGTCACGAATCCATGCTAGCTGTCCCTGATAAACTGAAACTTTTCGAGATGTTCAGTTGCCCCATCCTTGATATAGACTCCAACAATGTCCTCACCACATATGTTAAGCTAACTGGGCTGTAATTCCCTGGGATAATAGGAACTGCCGATGCTAGAGATTTCTGAAGAAGGGTCTCAACCTGAAACATCAGCTTTCCTGCTCCTCTGATGCTGCTTGGCCTGCTGTGTTCATCCAGCTCTACACCTTTGTTATCTGTAATTCCCTGGTTTTCCTTTTTCACTCTTCTTTAAACTTGCAAATGGCAAAATGGCAAGTGTACCGTGCGATACACTCCTAATTCCCATTCCCTGTTTCAGCACCCTGTCAAGTAGTGAACGGGGCAGTGGATAACATTAGTGAGTAGCTTCCTTCAGGCAACACCATTGCATGTCATTTAAGGATACATTAGCAAAGGTCCGGACAGATGACATGCCCATGTGTCTCTTGAAGTACTTAGCCTGGGAGAACCTATATAATGAAATTGATTAATAAAACTATAGAACCTTTTAGAAAAGCTATCAGCTGAATAAACTAGCCATCCATTTTAACCCCACTTTGTAGCATCTATGATGTAGTCTTGCAGGTTACAGCACTTCAGGTGCAGATCCAGGTTCCTTTTTAAATGAGCTGAGGTTTTCTACCTCAATCAACAAACTGGGCAGCAAGTTCCAGACACCTGCCACCCTCTGGGAGAAAATGTTTTCCATGTCTCCTCTAATCTTTCTACAATCACTGTAAATATGTGCCCCCTTTCACCTTTCCCTCAGGAGAAACAGTTGTTCACTATCCACTCTATCCAAGCCCCTCATTATTTGGAGACCTTAATTCTATCAGCCCTCGTTCTCCTTTGTTCTAAAGAGAGCATCCCTAACTTACCCAATCTTTTCTCTTAAATTGCAGTTTTTGAGTCCTGGCAGCATTCTTGTAAATATTCTAGTGAATCTGCAAATAATTGAACAAAGCACTAACAAAGAGATTGTTTATTGTTGGCACTGCTGTGAATTTTCCACTGATTTTCATATTGTTCTGGAAGTTTGAGGAAATTGAAAATAACAACATAAATATCAACAAATTCCATTTCTGTTAGCATGGTTAAATGTAGTAAAACATCCCTAGGTCCTTAAACCTACATTATTTCCAAGTGTTAATTAATACAGAATAAACTAATTTCCTGTTACTCCTGTTGATGAGTTTCTGGTCTCAGAATTGTCAAGTCGTAGTTAAAAGCAGTTTATAAATGAATGGTCTAGGAAGAGTAGGTATGATTGGATTTTGACTATCAAAGCTACAAGAAGTAAAACATAAAGCAACATGGGTATGTAAAGACAAACAGTACCAAACAGTACCACAAATGTCAATATCCATATTCAACTGACTTTGCCATTACACCATATTTTGACAGTAGCTATTAATGTATATTAGTGAAGGGGGTCAGTTCGCTCTGTTGGCTGGATAGCTGGTTTGTGATGCAGAGTGATGCCAATGTCATGGATTCAATTCCTGCTGAGGTTACCATGGTGGACTCTCCTTCTCAACATCTTGCCTCACATGAGGCATGGTGACCCTCAGGTTAAACACTGCCAATCACCTCTCTCTAATGAGAGAGCAGCCCTATTGTACTGTAAGACTATCGCCACTTTATCTTTACTTTAGTGACAAATAAGTTAATATGTGCATGGAAAAGGCACAAGTGTGGATTGATACAAAGAAACACAGTAAAACTGAAAGCAAAGAATTGTAGGAATCTGAAGTTCAAAGGAGACAATTAGGAAGTGAATCCAAAAGGAGGACAAAATTCTGCAAACATTTGGAAAGATTCTGAAGCCATCTCAAGCCATTTGCTGAGGCTGGAGGGAGAGGGCTAAGACATGCTCTCGGCAAAAGTGAAGAGAAAACCTGATACTGCAGGAATGACATCTGGACAAATATCAGAACAGCCTAGTGCCTGTATGATGGCATATAAAATAGAGATAATGCTATTTAAGTTGCTTTATGCAATGCATGGCCCCTTGCATCACTTTAGATTACCATCCACAAAATAAAATTAATTAATTTGTCTTATAGATTCAGATTTGATTTGCAGGATAATTGAGGTTTTATTTTAAATGAATGTTTAATGGCTGGTTTCAGAGAGAGGAATGCAACTCACTCTCAAGTTTATCCCCAGTGTCGATAAGTGAAATTATTTGAGTAGAAATTCATTTTATTTACATTAATTCATATCTATTAGAATGTAAAGAAATTAATAATTATTGTAGTTCTATTAATATTTTAAGATAGGTCATACTAATTAATTTCAGAAATTACAAGGGGTTAAAGATCAATTTTGGCAACTGAAAGGAATATAATTGGTGGCCAATCCATTAGTTTGTGCCTCAGTCAAAATTACATTATGTCACTGCTAATAATCTTACAGCACAGAAGGAAGTCTATCATCATAGAATCCCCTACAGTACGGAAACAGGCCCTTCAGCCCAACAAGTCCACACCGATCCTCAGAGCACCCCACCCTGACCTATACCCCACATAATCTACACATCCCTGAAAACTATGGGCTATTTAGCACGACCAATCCACCTAGCCTGCACATCTTTGGACTGTGGGAGGAAACCGGAGTACCCAGAGGAAACCCACACAGACACTGGGAGAATGTGCAAACTCCACACAGACAATCACCCAAGGGTGGAATTGAACCTGGGTCTCTGGCACTGTGAGGCAGCAGTGCTAACCACTGAGCCACCATGTCACCCCTGTGCAAACGTTTCTTTATTTATTCATGGGTTGTGGAAGACACTGGCTGAGCCAGGATTTATGTTCATTTCTAGTTGCCCTTGTAAAGGCTGGTAGTGTGGTGATTGATCCTACCAGAGTTCAGGGATACAGGTCCTTGCAGTCTAGTGTTTGGACTACAAAATGTCCCTCAAGTCAAGTATAACCTGTCCAAGGAGTGCGGATAATGCAGTCAGGGGACACCAGTCTGATGGACGTGGGCCAATTTTTCCCACAATGAGACAAAGGGGAACTTTCAGCATGATGGAAGTGGATGGAAAAGCAGTTAGTAGTAATGTAGCAGCAGATGAGGTATCCCTAGTAGATGAGTAGGAAGTGCAGAGGCCAGCAAGGGTTCGTTTGGCAGGGTGAGCCTTTGAGTGGACGTAATGCATGCAATAGTGACTTACAACCTCAGCTGGTTGAAATCCGAGAAATCGCTTGTGGAACTTCAGTATACAGAGGACAACATCATCTCCACTTTCTCAGAAGAGAATATTGAAGCCTCGCTTAACGCCTTCATGGAAACATTTAACAGAATTGGTCTCAGCCCCAACCTCAAGTCCTTGACAAACATGTCCCAGGACAAGTTTTGGTCTATCCCTCCACTAAGATCAATGGACAAATCCTCCCAAATGAGGAACATTTCTCCTACCTGGGGAGGTACCTCTCATCTAAAGCTGACATCATGTGGAGATCCAACATCACATCCAAATGCCTAAGAATGAGAATCTTTGACGCAACAACTGTACTGATACCAAGAGCCTTGTGCATAAAACAGCTCTCCTTCTAGTTCTTCTATATGGCTCCAAAATCGACAGCTACATATGGATGTAGTCCTGAGAAAGCCCTGAGAAGAACATGTATCCATACTGTCTGAGAGAGATTCTCTGCATCAGCTGTGAGGACAGCGGGTAGTAACATCAGTGACCTTGAAGGACCTAATAGCACCAACATCGAGATAATGATCATCCAAACTAACTCTGCTGTGCTGGCCACATGCTTCAGATGACTGAATTCCAAATTCCAAGGCCGAGATCTTTGCATAGATCAAGGAAGGTGCTCAAATGAGAGCAGGACAAAGGAAGCATTTCAAAGTCTCCTTGCAGGTTTCCCTCGAGATCTGTAACATAGACCCTGATGCCTGGAATACCCTCGCTCAGAAGAAACTGATTTGGAGGAAGCTCCTGTATGTAGGGACACAATTCTTTGAGAACACCCATTTGCTAGAGGAAGTAGGAAAAAGGATCTGGAGAGAAGAACGCCAATGATCTCAAGCCAATGACAAATTCCACCTCCTGGAAACACCTGCCAAATGTGTGGTTGGAGATGTGGCTGCAGATGCTAGAAATCTGTAACAAAAACAGAAATTACTGGAGAAACTCACTAATCAGTCAGCATTTGTGGAGCGAAAGCAGAGTTAACATTTTGAGTCCGGTGACCCTTTTTCTGAAGAAATTTTGATTCTGCTTTCTCACCACAGATGCTGCCAGACCAGCTGGATTTCTCCAGCAATTCCTGTTTTTATTTCATTTATTCATTGAGCTTCTTCCTGAGCTCCACTCAGGGCTCAGCACTGACCTGGACTGCTATTTGGTCCCATGTTAACTGTGTGTCTCCTGGTGTGGTGTAACCTCCTGTGGCTGTAGCAGGAAAGGGAATAGCCCACCTCTCCTCCACAGTGTTGACCATCACCTCCAGGCCCCACTGTCAGTGAGATGTGAGGGGAGGAGGGGAGTGAGCTTTCCATCTGGGCCATGTTCTCAGTGATAATGGTGAGTACCATGGTGTGAAGGGTGGTCCCTGGCTTGCATTGTCTCAAGTGGTGGGCTTTTAAGATGGCACCAGTGACCTGAATGTGGAAGATATGGGCAGTGGCCAGCACATCCAACTCTCTTGCCATGTATTTCCATAAGAATAGCACCAAAGAGCCTAGTTCCATAATTGATGAGGTGAAGAGTCACAGCGAGAGAGGTCTACAGCACAGAAAAATGCCCTTTGGCCCATTCAATGGTCAAAAACAAGCACCTAAATATTCTAAACCCATTTTCCAGTGTTTGGCCCATGGTCTTGCGAGCCTTGGCATTGCAAGTGACATATGTCCCAATTAAGTTGGTGTTCAGCTTAAAAGCGAACTTGTAGATAGTGTTTCCATCTACCTGCTGTCCTTGTTCTTCCAAAATTATAGAGGTCGTGGGTTCTGGGGTGCTGTCAAACTACTGCATTGCATTTATTGTGGTGTACACAGTACTACCACAGTGGAAGGAGTGAATGTTTATGGTGGTGGATGAACAATTGTGATGCTTTGTCTTGGATCATGTTCAGCTTTTGGAAGTGTTGTTGGAACTGTATTCATCCAGAACATTTCCTCACCCTTCTCACCTGTTGCTTGTAGATAGGGACAGGGTTTGGGGAGTGAGGAGGTGAGTTACTGACCATAGAACATAGACCCATTTTGTGTCGACAATATTTATATGGCTACAGGTTAAGTTTCTGATCAATGATGACTGCCAGGATATTGATGGTGGAGGGAAGGAGGGATATTCAGCTATAGTAATGCCATTGAATGTCACTCTTTCTGCTTTTCAAACCAGTTTCTTGACTCTATCAAAACCATTCATGATTCTGAATGCATTTATCAGATATCATCTTGACCATTTCTTCTTTAAAGTGAAGAACCCTAGTTTCTCTCCATGTAATTCAAGGTCCTCATTCTTAATATAATTCTCGTAAGTCTCTCATGTATCTTCTCCAAGGCTTTAACATTCTTCCTGAAGTGTAATGTACAGTATTGAACACAACCTGAAAACTAACCATTGTTTTATAATGGTCTAGTATAACTTCTTTGCTTTTTATTTTATACCTCTGTCAAGGATCCTAAATGCATTTTTAACAGTCTTCTCATTTTGTCCTGCCACATTCAAAGATGTGTGTACTTATATGCCCAGGTCTCTGTTCCAGTATCATTTACTTCATGTTCCCTGATCTCATCCTTCCTGCCAAAATGTGTGACTTGTTCAACATTAACTCTGTTTATGTTTCAATGTACAGGGTGATCAAGGCAATCCTGGACCATCAGGTCTTGGTGGTCCTGTGGGTCCAACAGGACCCCGAGGAGATCCAGGGAAGGATGGTGTCCGTGGACCTCCAGGTGCAACTGTAAGGAGATTTATTACCTATTCAAAAACATAGCATGTGTAAGCTATAAAGTAAATTTTATGTAATTAATTTTCTTACTGTCCAGTTTTTAATCTGCTTATTTTGGAGTAACTGACATAGGGTAGTGGCTTTGACTGTAAAACAAAGCAGATGATAAAAAAAATTGGCAGCCACTTTACACCCTCCCAAAAGAATGCCGAAAATTCATTTCCCTCTGAGAGAAGAAATTCTTCCTCATCTTTGTTTGAAAAGGGTGACACCTTATTCCTAGATTGTGCCCACTGGCCCTGGACTTTCGCAGAAGTGGAAATAATCTTTCTCTCTCTACCCTGTGAAGTTGCCTAAGAATCTTCTATGCTTCAATAAGGTCGCCTATCATTCTTCTGAACTCCAATAATGCCCAACCTCTTCTTGTAAGACAGTATCTCCGTACCTGGGACCAGCCTAGTGAACCTCCTTTGGACTACCTCCAATGCCAACATATCTTTCGTAAGATAAGAGGCCCAAAACTCTTCACAGTATTCCAGCTGTGTTCTGACTATTGCCTTGTATAGTCTTAGCAAGAGCTCCCTATTTTTATGCTTCATTCTCTTTGAAATAATTATTACCTGATTACCTTATTACCTGAACTTGGATGCTAGCATTTTATGATGTGTGCACAAGGAGTCCCAAATCCCACTGTACTATTGCTTTCTGTAGTTTTTCTCCATTTAAGTAACATTCAGCTCCTGCATTCTTCCTGTGAAAGTGCATAACCTCACATTTTTCCACATTGTATTCCATCTGCCAAGTTTTTGCCCACTTGCCTAACCTGTCTACATCTCTCCGCAGACTTTTCGTCCTCACCACCTGTCTTCCTATTTTTGTGATATCTGTAAATTTGGCTATTGTACATTCACATTCCTCATCCAAGTCGTTAATATATATCGTAAATAACTGGGGCCCCAGCGCTGATACCTGTGGCATTCCATTAGTTACAGGTTGCCATCCTGAAAATGTCTCCCTGTCCCAACTCTCTATTTTCAATTAGTTAGCCAATCCTCTTTCCATGCTAATATACTACTTTCAACACCATGGGCACTTATCTTTATTAGCCTTTAGCAATTGGACTCCGTCTCTTCCAAACAGGTTGGTCAAGTAATTAAAGACATAAAATCCACCTTTTATATCTTTTAAAAGTTTGGCTTGCCTCCTCATCTGATATTTTGATAACAGTAGGTGAACCACCATGCTCCAGTGTGTGGACATTTCAGTCCCAAGATGTCATGTGGTAAACCCAGCTCAATCCAGAAATTGTCCAACATCATTTCATTTTATTCCAACTTCCTTCAATTTTATTTTTAAGAACAAGGTACTTGCAACAATATTTAACCAATTTGCTGGAGTACTTTGAAGTAGTAATGTATTGTGGACAAAGGAAACCTATGGGTGTAACGTACTTCGATTTTCAGAAGACATTTGAAAAGATGCCACATCAAAGGTTATTGTGGAAAATAAAAGCTAATTTTATTGAGAGCAACATATTGGCATGGCTAGATAATGGGATAACTAACAAGAAACAGAGTGTAGGCATAATTGGGTAATTTTGTGGCAAGATATAACTCATGGCATGACACAGGGATCAGCACTGGGCCTCAATTTCTTACAATTTATATAAATGACTTGGATGAAAGGATTTATGATTACTACGTTTTACTGATGACTCAAAGTTAGTCAGAAAAATAAGTTTTAAAGGCTACATAAAGAGGCTAAATAGAGACGTAGATGGTAACTGATGGGACAAAGATAAGTCAAATGGGGTATAATGTGGGCAAATGTGAAATTGTCCATTTTGGCAGGAGAAATAAAACAAAAATAAACATATAACCTAAAAGATGAGAGATTGCGGAGCTTTCTGATGTAGAAGAATTAGAGTACCCTAATGTATAAATTACAAAAGGTTAGTATACGGTACAGTAAGTAATAAGGAAAGTTAATGTTATCAAAAGGTTACCATTTATCATGAGCAGAACTGGATACAAAAGCTTGAAGGTTATGCTTTAGTTATTTTGGGCGTACTTGAGACCACATCTGGAAAAACTTGAATCATCTTGTTTGTGATCAGCTGCTAGCTGGGCATTAATGGACTGTGAGACAACAAGGTGCAGGGCTGGATGAACACAGCAGGCCAAGCAGCATCATAGGAGCAGAGAGGCTGACGTTTCGGGCCTAGACCCTTCATCAGAT